TGAGTGAATTATTTAGCACTCATTAAAAAAGTTGTTATTAAATAAAATTCTCTTCCGTTTATTATGAAAAAAATAATAAGACGGGATTTTTGACATAAGACTACCGGGTCGTAGCGAAGATAATTCAATACTTTCCTGCAACCGAATCCTATCAAAAGAGTGATAACTTATTATAAAATCTCAAAAGCAAGAAAACTAAGTGTCTGCGAATATCAAGAATCAATATTGTTCTAAAACTCTTGCTAAGAAACTGGGTGCTGTAAAAAGAATTTGCTATCTTAGCATAGATTTAAGATATAAGTTTTGCTAATAATCTTAGTTAATAGCAGCTATATTTTTACTGTTCACTTCAAAATATCTAAAAGGTGCTAATTATTAGCTAGGTACATTTGGCAGATAAGAAAGTATTATTTGATCAATTTCTATACATTTAAAATTGCACCATAGAAAATTTTCTGCATGTTTTTTAAGGCTAGGGAAAAAACAAACACTGAAAATGAATTTTAGTTGAGTATCTTCCAGTGCAACATCAATACAACTAGAATAACATAAAAAGAAAATTATCATAATTAGATTATTATTACTCAATCAAAAACAAACTTCTGCTACAAGATATCACACCAGTAAGTCTTTACTTTAAAAATTATATTCCAAATTCTAATGATAAATAAGCTTGAAAAAACATGACAGAATACAAATGTAGAGATATTTTTAATAAATGAGCAAACTTTTATCAAACTATGACAAAGAATCATACATTTCACAACACTTCCCAGCTGTTAAAGATTTCATAAATCTAACAAGCATCAGGAGAAACAGGAAGACCAATCTTTCATCTTGAATGCGTCCCCAAAACATAATTGCATCATCAGCAGGATTCAAACCACATGCACTGTACTTCAGATACAGCCAAAAGAACCTGTCGGGACCGGATGCAAAGATCGCATTTTAAAAAATGCAAGCAATAAAATAATCATCCTAAGCCTTGAATGGATTATTGCTAATTGAGGACATTATCTTCTGAAAACATGGGCTTTAATTTAAAAGCAGATGAATAATATTCCTCTTCTAAATCATACAGTTCAGAAGCCATGTCATCTCTAAGATTTGTCAGTTTAGAATCAATGCTATCTTGCACAGCTCTGCACATTTTTGTTTTCTGAGAGATAGCTTCATTGACAGATGGAAAGTCATTCAGAATAAGATACTGCTTTATGTCCGATATTAACTTCATTAAAGATTCAGCTGCACGAACCTAAAAAGAAAAGAGCAATCAGTAAAGATTAAAATTTCAGTATATTTGTACGTGATAATGGTTAATAAAAAATTTCCATAAATCTTAATCACTAGGGTTCACACTAGTAATGAAAATTTAGGTCAAAAATCAAACTTTAGAATTGTCTGATTCAATAATGCTACGGTACACATCAAAAGTTATTAATCACCATCTATTACATCTTAAAACTAATAAGGTTCATTACCCCATAATGATTGAAGATTAGAATTGATTAAAA